AGAAGAAGAAGAAGAAGGAGGAGGAGGAAGAGGAGGAGGAAGAGGAGGAGGAGGAGGAGGATGAGGAGGAGGGGGGGAGGAAGAGGAAGAAGAGGAGGAGGAGGAGGAGGAGGAGGAGTGTGTGTGTGTGTGTGTGTGTGTGTGTGTGTGTGTGTGTGTGTGTATGTGTGTGGTGAATAAATGTGACTGTACATTTGCTTTGTAAAAAAGTGTCATGAGCACAGTTTAACGATGCCTATATCTCACTGGTAAAAAAAAAAACTCTACAAGAACCTTTTCTCATTTCACGTCTGATAGGTCACATTATCTTTTGTGTTCTATCCTTTGAAGGCCTTTAGATTATGAATAAGATTTTTGAACGTTCGGACACTTATTCATCTATAAGCAAACCACGCTTTTGACGTAAAAAAACCTACAGTGCGTGATGGCTTAGTACGTTTTATCAAAGTAAAAAGGGGTCGAACAATGTATCTAATCAATTATCTCATTGTAAAAGCATATTTTCACGAAATGATTTATGTCAACCAATAGACATTGTCTTTACTTTCTTTTTGTATTAATTTCGAAGTGTACGATTAAATCTTAACAGAATGAAACAGGTTTTTCTCCGTCCTGAAAAATATTGTTTATACGGCTTGTGACATTGCAATGTCAGGTCGACGATATATTTATAGAGGCTACCCTTGAGACGATTTTCTTAGAAAGGACGTTTGTCACCCCTTTAAACATTAACGAAGAAAAAGAACTACCCAACATACTCTTAAGACCAGGGGCGGCTCGTTAGGCTAAAAAGTGGGCGTGCAAAATTAAGCTGTAGCTGGTTGAAGATAGTCAAGGGCATAGTAAATGGATTGTCACTTTGATTCCTAAAACTAAATCTGTTTGTAAGCTAAACATCAGTTTCTTCATCCTGCATTGGAACTGAACACTTAAGAAATAAATTTCACCACTCCACTACGAAACCACTCAAAGGCACAACTCACAGGACGCAGGACGGTGACTTAATTATGTCACGTTCACCTCCCCCAGGTTCACGGTCACAGAGTCACTTAAAATAGCGGCAAGACAATGAACCTATCACATTTCACTTGAGCACTCCGCTGAATTGTTCCGGGGATCACATCATTTTGACATAGAATAGTGTGCAGCCTATCGTGTTTATTTTTAGACTGCCTACTGTGGGCTATATTTCGTGGGTGCACATTTGAGATGTGCCGTCTTATTAATATTAATGTACCGCCAAACTCGCTACGAGTGTCGTCATCATTTGGGTCATCCCAAAGGGCGATTTATAGGTCAGGTCACCACTATTGAATATCCCATTATGTTTAGTTAAAGTGTGTGGACTTTGGCATGGCATAGCAGATGTTCTATGGCGCTTTTTACACAGAAATGACAGTTAAGGCGCAAGCGAGGATCTTGTTTTGAAATAATGTTTGGCTAGTGTTTGTTTCGGACTCCTTTTATTTGATGTTTGTGGATGCTTTTCGTAATAGAACATTGAACTATTTTGGGCGGCACTGCACGACCGTGCTCTATGGACGAACCGCGCCTACTTAAGACGAATCGACGCGCCTCCTTTTTCTTTATTTGATAGGCCACGGGTGCTAAACTCAAGGCCTCCGAGCCACATCCGGTTGTGCGAACAAAACTATTATTACATCCGGCCTGCGAGAGAATTTGAGACAGCCCCGTCTGAGAATCTCCAGTACACAGAAAATTATTAACAACTGGAAACATAAACTGATCTGTTGCCAGAACAAGAAGCCAAACTTTCTGCTCTGACAAGGTGGCATAAAGGGTTTGCCTTGATTTGCTGTTATTACACTTTGTGTGTTAATTTATATCATTGCTTTAAAAAGAGTTACTTCTGAACTGCTTTGTGTGTGTGTGGGGGG